TCTCTATAAATGAATGATTTTTTTGGATAATCTGTGAAAATTATTTTAATCTAACATATACTTTTACATATATACCTGATTTAAAACTAATATCTTTAAAAGTTTTCTTTTTTCAGCAAATAATATCCATGGATCGATTTTTTTTCACCTGAGTGTAGATTGTCACAGATGCTGTACCCTTTTCTAAATCCGGCTTGTTCTACTGGTTGATATCCGTCAAATTTAATTGTTAACCTGTTTGCAATAATAATTGTAAAGGTTTTGTAAAGCTGTGAAAAAAGTGAAATTGGTCGATAATATTTCATGTCTATGGGTTCTCCCTATTTGTGTATTAGTATTGTTTTAGCAGGATTCCATTGTTCGGGTATGTTGCCTTTGAATAGACACTTATTAAATAGTATTTTTAGATATGTGATGGGTTCTTCCCCGCCTTTCTTCAGCATTTCTGCTAGAATTCCATCGCTTCCAGAAGCTTTTATTCCTTTCTATTTCTTTTACTGCTCTTTCTATTTCTCCGTGGCTTATTTCGGGAATCACTTGGCATCAAAGAGTTGACATTTGTTATCTGCTTCATCATATTATGCTTATCTACTGATTCACCAGCGGACAATATTTTCAAAAAGTGACCATCTGCTCTGATTTTCATTAATTCCGTCCCATTGAAAGTGATGCACACTGTATATTGTATGTTGTATTTAAAATCTAAATACTTGAAGTCACTGTGTATCCATTTAATGATGTTTTATTTAATCGTAAACTTAATTGTAATATTCATTACTTTTTAAAACGTATTAAAATTTTATAAAAATAAAATAATCGTGACCATGACTTTGATAGTTCCCGTCGAACCTAGGCAAACCATATCCGGTTTGTATCCGCAACAATATAATTACAGTTATTTGCAACTTGCAGTTTATTAAAATACTCTTCGTTCTATATTCTTATTGATATCATTCTTCATATGATTGGGGTTACTTCATCAGCCACGATGTGTTAAACAAACGCAAATTATGACATAAATAAACGTCTACCTTCTTCACTAATGTCGCACAAAATGTCCGACAAAAACATATCTAGAAGAACGTATCTTAGTTTACAGTAGGGTTAGAAATCAAGGGGTCAAAGAAGGAATCGTTATATTAATATTTCAAAGATACCAAAATGAGATAAAAGGATGCTAGTATTTTTGTCTGCAAGGAGCATTTAAATAAAGATAAAAATTGAAATAAATGATTCAAAAGGAATGATAGCAACAGTCCAAAAAACTGCAAACTACAACCTATAAGAGAACAAATATATGAAGAACTACAACAAACTGGTCACCAAGTTTGAAGAAAACTGACAAATCCACATTTGCGAACACAGGGTCAAAGAACAAAGGCAGAATTTACAAAACAGTCATCATATCAATAATGAAATACGACAGAAACACGACCTGACACAGAGAGTACAAAAAGGATGTTAGAAACAGCAGAGATGAAAACACTTAGAAAAATTGATGGCAAAACACTATGGGACAGAGCTAGAAGTACAGATATACAACATATGGTGAAGATCACCAAGAACTGGGTAAGAAATAGAAGAGTAGAATGGAACGATCTTATAAACCGAATGACAACAAATAGAGTAGTAAAGACGGCAAGTGACGGTTCCCCAATAGAAAGACGATCAGTAGGAAGACCACGAAAACGATGGAATGACAACTTATTAGAGGCACATTAAAAAAAAGAGCCGTGTCTACATAAAAATAAGAAGAAAAAGAAGAAGTAATTCCCAGATGCGCCCAATTTTATGAAGAGCTAGATAAAAAAAGTCAAAATAATTAACGCAATCCCGAAAAACTGTGGGAAAAAATTTCGTAAAGATTGTTAAGAAGAAAATATCTACCCAAAGACTGCAAGCAACACATATAGAGAAAAACAGCTTATGTGGAAAATACATGTACAAAAAATGGACGAAATCATGTTGTCCACATTTACCAAGCAATGGATACCATCAAATAATCGAAAGAAGCAAGAGAGGCTTAAGAAAACATCAACAAAGACAATAACTAAAATGGTGAGTACTAGAGATCAAAAAAGGACAAAGGAATAATAAAAACTAGTGGAAGCTACGCATCAGACATGGGAAACTCGTAAACACAGTTCTGAAGCTATTAATAAAAATAATGAAAAAAAAAACTGAATAAATTTATAACATTGGCAAAAGGAAAACAAGGCTTTATCATGAAGATATGGAATATTGTGTACCGTCGCTATCATGGTCAAGCAATTCAAAGAAAAAGCTCTAGAATACAATAGACCAAGAATAGAATACATATTTTTTGTGGACCTGAAAAAGACTTTCAATAGTGTCAAACTTACAAGCGCCATTCACCTATAATGAACAAAAAACATACTACTATGCATAACCAAGACGATCGAAAACATATATCAAAACATCATAATAAAATCTAAAACATAGGAACTAACTAATCCGATTAAAGTTAGTAAGGAGATCAAACTGGAAGAATTTTAAGTTTATAATAGATTATTGATGAAATCAAAAAGATGGGATGGATGGGAAGAAAAGAACTTAAAATATCAGACTACGCAGATGATGTGATATTGGTGACTCAAGGCGAAAACAAGTTATATATTTCACAAATTTAGCAAAACTTATGGAAAATTTAATAAAATAATTTCACCATGGTTACCAATAAAGTGCATGTTTGAATCAACAGATAATGATGGGTTTTAAGTAGGTACATAATCTCGGAGTATCTTTCCGAAAGAAGGATTATGGTGGAAAAGGGCACGATCGTGAACGTGACGGCCGGGGTACCCCAGTGATCTGTCTCGGGCCCGATGCTATGGAACCCGGCATATGACGGGGTTATGCACTGTGAATACGGAGAGGGTACAACCCCCTTCGCATTCGCGGATGACCTCGCTGTACTGGTAGTAGCCCGGGATGAGCCAGATCTCAAATACCGGCTTCGAAACGCAGGCCGCGTCGTAAAGAGATGGATGACGCAGCAGAGAAAACCGAAACCATCATTCTGAAGTGGACAAGGAATAGGCAAAGTATTAAATTACAATGTGCGGGAGCATGTAAAAAAAGAGCTCTATGAGAGAAGAAGCCCAAACCTTACTGTGGCCGAGAGAAGACAGGAAAGGGAAAGGTCAATTGAGAAATGGCAAGAAGAATGGAACAACACGAAGGATGTGGCACAGTGGACGAAAATGCTGATCCCGAACATAAGAAATTGTGTGGACTGTGGCCATAGGCGACTGGCTTATTTCCTGACGCAGGTGCTCACAGGACGCGTATGTTTTAGGGCCTACCTCTTTAGGTTCGGAAAGGCTGACATAGATGAATGCCTATACTGTAGATACTCGGACACTGTGACACGTACGATGTTAGATTGCAGCAGATGGATAGTGGAACGCAACAGAATATAGAGAGAGACAGGTTTGAATTTTGTTACAGTGGGTTAAAGTATTGAGAGAATGATTGAAAACAAATCAAGTTGGACTAACATACACAACTATATACGTGCAGTGATCAAGAAAAAGCAAGAGGAAGAAAGACAGCTAGACCAACGGCAAAGGTAAGAGTGAAAGATGCTGAAAGTTAAAGCTAGGAAAGTGGGTCAAACTGTATGAGTTAGAATGCGTGAGTTAGACGATGGGGAAGGAGGAAATACCCGTCTGGGAATGATGCCGAATAGACTGGGAGCGATGAGGGTCTTCCAAACGCTACCTGAAACGAGACAGGAAGCCTCCTTGCTGATGAATAGAGTGTGGATGTGCATAAATGGAGAATGAATGAATAAAGGTAGTGCTTCGGAAGTGATGCCGGCCTTACAGCGGCCATTTCGCTTCCGGATCGTTGGATGACAGAGGAGGGTCTGGTTTAGCAGGTAGGCATTCGTCGTAGACTCGGTGACGAGAGGGCATTTTAAAGTACCTCGGGAACTTTCGCTGGGAGTACAAAGAACGAATCCTGCCCTAAGATTAGTTAGGCGGCGTCCTGGACTGAGATGTCCTTTGAAAATTCCAGACCCCCCCACTCTATAAAGACGAAAAAATAAGATACATAACTACTAGTGGTTTTATGAAAGTGTAATGGTGAAATTATTTTAAAATTGAATAAAATAAGAGTGAAATAGGTCTTTTTAAAGCGTTTGTTTTGAATGTATTAGTTATTATAATATATTATTCATAGTTCAACGTAATTTAACAGCAACAAAATAATTGCAAATCTTGCAATTACGTAGTATTTAATTACATTATAAAAAAACATATTGTTTTAAAATCTTGAATAATCTTCGGAATATGTATACATAATTGCATTGTATGTGCGTCTGTAGAGTTTAGTAGATTTTATTATCTATTTTGAACAAGAAAGATAGTTGCAACCAAAATAAACACGATATAATATTATAATCATTATTTAAACCAAATATTTGCTACATCGGAATACTATTTTGCGTTTCATAATAATAATCTCATGGATTTAAAAAATCTATGTACTCTATGTAACCAGTAAATAAAGTGGTACTTTCCGAAACTTCAATTCATACAGCATAATTATACAAGGTTGACCACTAAAAAAAATTCACCCTAATATTTGACACTATTCATTGAACTTTGTGAAAATTCTGAAACAGGTCGATTTTTTGACGACAGACATTTGTCATTTGTTAATACCCTGCCTTCAAGTAGGTACCACAAACCCTTAATTTTAAATAGGGAATAGACATCGAGTTAGAATCTATGGAGAAGCTATGAGCATATTAACGTATGTATTCTCCATAGCTTCTATTTGTTTATAGCGACAGTCACTAATATCCAATATTTCTTATATGTGTATATATATATATATATATATATATATATATATAATATATATATATATATATATATTCATACTATATTATGTATGTTTAACAGCATAACAAACACATCAACATGTATGTTAATTTAGATCGAAATAACAATAAACAAATGACTCACCACTGATGTTAAAACACACAACACCACACAAAGCAATAACGCGCCAGTCCATCTTGCCTTTATAAACTCTACTGGAAATACAGCATGCGTTTTCTGCGGTATTTTATATCTACCAATTAAACAGAAAATCCAAATCGTGGAAAGGAAGTGTGCGTGAGATAATCACGTCAGACAAGTGCAGTCAGACCAATTTAAAAAGGTGATACAGTAATTATATTTAATTTTGGTATGTATCATGTCAAGAGATGGCTATGACTAAACGACGAAAAATACAAAAAATATATCTTTGACTGAACTTTGAGACTTTAAAAAATTACAAACATCAAAACTTAAAACAAAAAATTTAAACAAATATTGAAGTAGGGGAGACCTGGGTTTGTTAACTTATTTTTTCAATAAATAATTTTTGCTGATTTATTTTTGCATAATGTTCATAAATGTTCATAAATTCAAGTATGTCAGCTGGTTCTATACTCCTTTAGCTATTGTACGTAAATTTTCAATTTATTCGAATCCTCCGTAGAAAAAAGTTTCAAACAAATCTTGGCTGCCTTGTAAAATAAGTCAACTAGCCACGGGTGCGGGTGTAGTTGACTAACAGCCTGGGGTTAGTTGTCTCAATATTTTCTTAGTAATATCATAAGGGTAATAATAGTGACACCATCCAAGAACAAATGCAGATTCAATTTTTCACTTTTATTTTGATCATTGACCATAATAAAATCTAACAATTAAAAACAAAACTCACAAATCATCATCTGATTACATTTGATACATATGAACAGAGTGGTTACATTTGTTCGTGCATTTTATGTGAGCCCATCTGCTGCAATGGATGCATTGCACAAAGTCATCACCTTTAGTGCTCTTTCGATAGGGTTCTTCACATATTTCTTGATGTCTTTCTTTTTGTTGCATGTTGTTGTTTTATGTGATCCTGTCTTTTCTTTCGCATTCTGTCTTTCTTACGCGCAAGCATCTTTTATCGGAGTATCAGTTCAAACAGCAGTTTATCCGTTCTTCCGTGATTTTTTTGGATTTTGTCAAAGATGTGCTTTTGGAAACGACCTTACTTCTTCAGTGGAAAGCAATATCGAACTTGGAGATTCTATTTTTGTCAATGACACTATATTTGCAGACAAATTGTTGTTTACATCTAGGAAATGCTCTAGAATTGTCGATGGATTCTCCATGATCTTAGCTTGCTCCACTGCTGAAATATATCTGTTGTTTTTGATAGCATTTCCTTCCTTCTTCATTTGCTGATGTAGCTCCGTTTGTCACATATGATGACAAGAAATCACTCTCTGTGAAGATACCCTCATTCAGATGACATATCCCTGTGTTATTAGTTATCCCCAGACTCAATTTTGCAATGTAAGAAACATCATATAAAGAAATGAAAGATAAAACTCTCTCATGAAAGATAAAACTGTTATTCCGTTTTTCTTACAAATATCTAACGTCTCGATAGAAATGTGAGATTTATGGTTATCGAGCAGCAAAAGTATAGGGCGCTACTTATAACATCTTGTGTGAAACACAAAATGCTTGACAAATTGCACAAAATGTTGTTCTTTTATCCATCCTAATAGATTTGCATCTCCTAGGCTTCCGACAGGTGCATCTCCAACAAAGTGGTCCCTGTAGTTTATTCTCGGGAAAATGAAGAACGGAGGAACAATATTACAATACGAGGAACTTGCACCAGTGAGGGTTACAAGGGTGCCTCTTTCTGCGGACGAGGGTTTGCCTATTTGCTTAAAGGTACGTCGTGCCACTATTCTATCCGGCTTCTGATACCCATCTTGTCAACGTTCCAAATATCGGATGCGTTCAAATTCAGACGCTTATATACCGTTTTCAAATTGTTGAAAAACATATCTACATTTGATTTGTTGAATAAAGTGGCTCTTGCCAAACTAGTAGCTTGTGATGTCCTATTCAAGGACACCACAAGGATAATTTTCTATTCCTCTTGATATAAGATGTATATTAAGGTTAAAAAGACATCTAATCAAAAATACATAAACACTAGAGAATTAATGAGAGATGAAGAGCTTAGATCTACATACAGTAAGCACATCAACGAGAATTTGAGCATAGGATCATAGGAGCATAGAAACATACAAGGAAATTGCATGGAAACCTATGAGAAAATAAAAATAGCTATAGTCGAGGCTGATGAAGTAGTCGCAAGTAAAATAAAAAGAAGTCACAAAAACGAGTGGATGATGGAATAGATACTTGATCTAATGGAGCAACTCATACAGTACAAAATACATCATAATCAACAGGAATACAAGGAGATCCAACGGACGATAAGGGCAAGAATTAAAAACGCAAAGGACAGCTGGATGAAAGAACGTTGTGAAGAATTGGAATCACTACAAGAAAAGGGAGACAGCTTTGGACTACATAAAAAGGTCAAAGAAACAATAGACCGAATCTGCCAACTACTAACTTACACATGGAAAATTTATCCCGCCCTCCCATTATTCGCGCCGAGGTGGAGTATGCTATAAAACTAACAAAACTAGGCAAGGCCCCTAGACCGGATGGAATTACTACGGAAGCTATATAACTGTTAAAAGATGATAACATCGACATGCTAGTAACAATTTTCAATCTCATATATAATACGGCTATATTCCAACGGATTGGTTTTATTCTACCTTTATAATGATCCCTAAATCACAAAGAGCGACAAAAGGCAAAGACCACAGACTGATAAGTTTAATGAGCCATTTGCTTAAGGTGTTTCTTCGCATCCTTCACACAAGAATGTTCAGAAAGCTGGAAGATCTAAGCGGTGAGACACAATTTGGTTTCAAAAGCGGACTGGGTACACGTGAAGCAGTTTTCTGCTTGAATACGCTTGTACAAAACTGCATGGATTGACGAAAGGATATAGCCATAATATTCCTCGATTATGAAAAAGACATAATCGACACTGTAAAACATGACGCAATGATAAAAATGCTACACAATGGTAACATTGACGAGAAAGATATGAGAGTTATTCAAAATCTCTATTGGAACAAATCAACCAACACATAAGAATTTGAAATTTTTAAGATGGGTGCGACAGGGGTGTATTTTGTCTCCTATGCTTTTCAATCTCTATGTGGAGACCATGTTTGCAGAGGCACTGGAAGGCTTTGAGTGTAGAATAAAGGTAAACGGGCTTACGATAAATAAAATTCGTTACGCCGACGACACCGCGATAATAACAGACAACGAAAATGGTATGCAGTTGATGTTAAATAAAATAAACACCGTAGGAAAAATATATGGCTTGAAGATAAATGCTGGAAAATCTAAATGCATGGCAATAAGAAAAAACACACTTTTAAGAATACAACTGCAGGTAGATATTGCTCCAATCGATCAAGTGAAAACATTTAAATACTTGGGAATGATGATAAATGACCAATAGGATCCTCAACAAGAAATAAAATGCCGTACCGAACAAGCAAGACAAGCTTTTATCAAATGTAAACAGCTACTATGTAACCGCAATCTTTCCTGTAATCTCCGCCACAGGATGGTTAAATGCTAAGTATGGTCACTATAGGTGCACAGCACTATAAGAAGATTCATCTGGACCTCACATTTTATTGTTTGTCCAGCTATCTGGAACTCTTAGATGGTTTGCACTGGCATACTGGAAGGCGAATTTTCTAAGCTTGTTGGTGGTTCAACCGTAATAAATATACGAAGCTTATTTCCGTAAAAATCACATGGTAGAAGTGTCTACCATGTGATCTGGCTTTACCATGTGATCTGGCTTTAACTACATAGCGCTGAAGTATTTTTTATGGCATTAAAAATCTTTTGCGACACTACTAACATTTATCCCATCATTTAAAACTATTGAAACTGCACGTTGAATTATATTGGGTGCTGTCTTACCCTTATGACTTTTCTTCGTGTAAAAATGTTTAACACTTTAGATTTGGAGAAACATGTGCACTATAACAGTTGCTAATAGTTTCCAAATACCTCGATATCACTCTAAACTTATTATTCCATTGAAAAATGCCAACTTAGTTCACAAATTCTGAAATTTGAGTACAACAGACCCCGGCACGGCTTAGTCGACAAGCGCCAGGCGTCACCCTGTCATTGCGAGGTCCATATGATAGACATGCGTTAACGTAGATACGATTAAATCACGTCAAATCATAGTCAATGTATATTACATCTTAAAAATATTGAGTGAAATTTGCCACGGACGATTTTATAGATAATAATACGAAAATCTTGAGAACCAAATTCATTATTTACCAAATGATTCTAGACTTCTCGTTCTCCACCAACACAAAACACAAGTAATCATAACAGCGATCTTGTAAATGGAGGCGCAGGAGTGGGCAGTTCAGGTATCTCGGTGTCATATCATATCAGGTGTCTAGAGGCGACACCTATTATACAGTAGAGGGAGGAGAGGCAATTAGTCAACTTGCCCCAGTCTCCCCTATTTAATAACTTTTATATAGAATGATTGCCCCAGTAGTTAAACCTGTAAAGTACTTTGTTAGTATGTACAAAGTACTATTTAAGTAATTTAATCATAATTTCACCATGCACTTCATAAGGTCCTGTTGTTTTTCCGTCTTTAATTCGCTTAATGGCAATAACTACTTCTTCGTTTGTTATGTCTGGGCCGTAGAAATTGTCTATTTCAGTCAGTCTTTTTGCTGTATCTTCGAATAATAATTGCATGTATTTTTTTCATTTTCTTAATTTATCTATAATTGTAGTCAAAATAAAGCCTTCGATGTCTACAACTATGCCTGTACTGCGTTGTTTTCTGGTCTTGTGTACCTCGTTAATCTTTTTATTCTTCTTTTTCTTCTTCTCGTAGCACTACAACTCGGGGTAGGTCTTGGCTAACTGCACAACTTGCTTCCATCTTGTACGGTCGTCCATTATAGTTGGGTCAGTGGGTAGCCCCATTGTTCTTAAATCTGACCATGTATTATCTCTCCATCGCATTCGTGGAAGTCCTAAGGGCCTTCTTCCTGTGGGGGCTTCCTCCCATATTAACTTGGAAAGGCGGTTATTAGGGAGTCTATGGACATGGCCAGCCAATTTTAGACGTTCGGATTTAATTTCTTGGACTATTTCGGTCGCTCTATACATCTGCTTGATCTCGGCATTTGTTCTCATTCGGTATTGGTGGCTATTAATGTCGTGATAAAGCCCAAAGATTCTTCTGAAGATTTTCCTTTCAAAACA